TGGGTATGATGATGGTTACAATGGGAGAAGCTGGGGCAGAGAGTTGGGAGAGTGTCTCTGGAATTTAGGAAGGAAGAGGATGGGCTAGGTGAGAGAGGGAGCTTTCAAGGGGAGGGTTATGGTGGCAATGAGTGACCAATTGGCTGGTTAGTTCTAGACAGTGGGCTTCATGTTCTATGCAGGTGTTTATAAGGTATCTTCTGGGGTAGCCCAGTCACACACTGATTCTTCAAACATCTAAACTGAATGGGATGGGGTGGGGGATTTCGATGATGCCTGGTCTTCTAGGATTGGGCTATGGGAGCAGATCTGAGGTTAAAGGCAGAGGAGAGGAAGGGAGGGAGGTTGGGGACTCTGGGGTGACCCCAGGCTTTGAGATTCCTAATTAAGTGCTCATTTTGTTCCATCACTGTAGGCCAGAGCCAAGACAGGAGAAGTGAGGTAGCAGAATGGAGACAGGGCCAGGCCAGCCCATCTTTAATTCTCTTAGTATAGGGGTGCTTATGCCAAGGAGGGTGTGACTCTTTCCACATCATCCATCACTGAGCCACAGAAGGCTGATCGTGATCAATAAGACAAACAATTATCCTGTCATTACTGATTGCAGGCCTGCGGCTGGTCAGCAATTGAGCGGGGAGCACCCAGGATGCAAGGGAATCTCTGATGAAAACTGTCCACACCTAAGGTGTTGGCTCAGAATGGGGAGAGTGTGGGGAAGAGGTCTAAGGAGGCTGCCAGGCAGAGCTGTCCCAGGAATTGGGGCAGGGCCCAGGAGGACTGAGTTCTCTATGGTAATCCATTCCCTAAGGGGTGCCTGAAGAAAGTGGGAGGCAGACCAGTTCCCACCTGGCTGGGAGAAGAGTTGTCTCGTAGTGGGCTGGACTGGGACCATCCCTCCTTCATTTCTTCTGTTGTCTCCTTCTCTTCTCACCCAAAAGCCTAAACTGGGGGAAGGGGACACATGAGGAAAGTTAGTAACTGAGCAATCCCAGCAGCAAAATAACTTTCTCATGCCTACCTATTGCACTCCCCTTATCTCAGGATCCCTACACACTCAACCAAAGTAATAATCTGTCACTACTGTCCTTTGAAGACCCAGGCATGTCAACTTAGCCCAGGCAGGAGAGGTATCAAAGGGAATGTGTGTGTATAGGTCTGGCTGGTAAAAGGGGAAAGAGTGACCACCAACTTGGGACCTGGGTCCTGGAGGATGTTTGGGATCTGGTCTGGGAATGGAGAAATTTGCGATGTGCCCCTTGGTGAGTAGGGCAGGCCCATGTCCTATTGACTAAGCTAACAGAAGCCAAAGCTACACAGCCATGGCTGTGTTGCTCCCCCTGAGTTCTGTTCCCTGTCCTATTCCCTGCCCCACAGAGGGGAAATCTCTCTCCATCAGAGGGAAGGGACGAAAGGAGAAGTGATTTATTATTCTATTCCATTATGCCTGTTTCCAGAGAAACTAATTATGGTGCATTGTTGTATTAGATACTTTCAGAAAGATTACATTTTCTTACTTTGGCCGATAAAAAAATTAAATCCATCAGTTTTCCTAAACACATTACAGTAAAGACAGACTTGCTCCTTGTAATTATTAATCAGTCGGATTTGGGGACGCAAAGCATTTGACTTAAGCTCAATACAGTCACGAACAATGTCCCAGGATCGCATTTGGTATTGAAACAATTTTTCAATTTATTAAAAAGTCATTAAGGCAGTTGGGGTGGGAAGTGGGGGGGCTGGACTGAGCAGCTGAGTCAGGGTTGTGCATAGGGGGAGGTTTCTAAAAGCAGAAGGAAACCCCAGGTATGTCTTGCTCCTAAGCCTGGCTCTATCCAATGGGCCTGTTTAAATTGAAATGGGACCCTGAGAAGTCAGCCCATGCCCCCCTCCCAGCTACCCCACCTATGCCAATCCATCTGTCCCGAGTCTGCCCTCTAGGATGTGAGCTCCATAGGATAGCGCAGTGGTAGAACGAGTCACTCATAGGAAACAATTTGTCCTATTGAGCCCCGAGCTCACGTTCCACAGTTCTGCACAGAGCTTAGTCGGCCTGACTCCCACCCTGGCAGGCAGACAGGTCCCTCCTACCAGCCCAGGCCCTTGGAGCCCCCAACTAGGGACATGTGGTTATTTGGAAGGACACCTGGTGTGGCCGGGTGCCTCGTTCCAGTTGCTGGCCATGCTCACTCAATCATTTAATTACTCCTCTGACACTTCCTACTCCCCGGAGGGATTTGCAGGGGTTTAGGAGGCTGGCAAGCTACAAGCCCAGCTTACCCTGAGGTCAGAGCTGAGGGGTGGTAATGGGACCTGAGCGTAAGTCACAGCTCAGCCTCTTGCAAACTGTTGACCTTGAGTGAGTCAGTTAACTTCACTGAGCCTCAGTTTCCACTTATGGAGGAAGGGGATGCTTCTGCCTGTCTCCTCACTCGGGACAAGGTAGGTCACAAGATCTGTGTCTGTTCTTCTAAGACTGGAACTCTGCCATGTTCCTCCATCCCCCAATAAGGGCAAAGTCTGCCTCCTCCCTCAGGGAATGCTTCACTTATGTAGTTCCTTCTCACAAGAATACCTACCCCCTCCCAAGGGTCTTCATTCTGGAGAATTCCACTCACCCTTCCTTCAGGCCTTGGCTTTAATGATGTCCCCTGAATCCAGGGTGGGGAGCCTCATGGTGTCTGCACAGCCACTGAGCTGCTTTCTCCCATCACATGGTGCCCAACCAGGGCTCATCTGCCCCTGTTAGGCCTGGGCCCCAGAAAGTCTGAGTCTTTTCCCAGACATCATCCAGCAGAGCTGAGATCTCATATCCGTGTGAGACCCACCCTGAACTAGCCTTGGACCTTGATGGATTCCGCAGGCCATTCTTTCTGAGGATGTATTGAGAAGGTCTGGGACCTCAGAGCTAGAAGATGAAACAATACTGGGCTCTTTTAATCCAGGGCTGAGAGATTCTGTCCCCAAGACTGCCCCCTGGACTGTTACCAGGAAGGGAGCCTGGAAAGGAAGCCAGCCTCCCTCTCAAGATGTCCATCCCTCAGTGACCTTAGCCAGCCCTGCCTTTATGTACCTTAGAATCCCCATATGTACAAGGTCTCCCTGCTCCATTAGCTGAATGGAGCTGGGGATCAAATATCTGAATAGAAGGGAAGATTCCAGGAAACGAACATGGGAAAGCTATGGCTGAGCACCAGCATAATTAGGGGTGACTGGTGAGGCTGGGTCTGGGTCTAAGCAAAGCTGAGTTCCAAGCCTGTCCTGCTGCCCTCTGTCACAGATCACAGCTGCAGAGATGGACCACTGGGCGCTGGCTCCCTGCCCCTTCCCTGTGCCTCTCACCTGCGGGCAGGTGGAATTGAGCATGTTCCAGACACTCTATTTCCCAGGAATTTATGGAGGGTTTTATCTTCCCTCCTTGATCACTGGTGAGGGAAAGAAGAGAGGGCACGCTCAGCTCCCTCCCCTCCAGAGGGGCACGGAATAGCAGGCTGGCCACCCTCAAGCTTGGAAAATACTGTCTGAACCCCACCCTCAGCAAACAGTCCTTCCCCCGTAGGGCCTCGTCAGGGCCTGGTGGATATGGGGAGGGGATGGCAGCCATTTAAGCTGTCACAAGCTCCATCAGAGGATTTAAATCACTGACACAGAGTAACAGCACTGTAGATTACAGCGCGGGAGCCACGCAGGCACAGCGAGAGAGTAAGGAGGTGCCTGCCAGAGGCATCACCCTGGTACTTTGCTATGGGGGGAGCTCTTTGCAGCTGAGGCCAGCCCAGCAGAAACCCATGAGCACTTCATCTGTCCCTCCACTCAGGTCAGTCCCCCAAAGAAACTGCCACACCCCTGGGCTGCTTCATTCTTTGTGTCTTCAATAAGAGCTGAGGTCTTGGCTTATGTCTCCCCCTGCCTGCCTGTGAATCTTGCACCCAGAGGCCTCACAGCCATGGGCACCCCTGAGAGGGGGAGTGGGGGCACCTGGCAGGGAGCCTGCCTGCTCCCGCTCACAGGCGCCCAGCCATTGTCTCTGATTGCATGGTATTAGCTGTAAATTACAGCCTTTGGGAGGCCGCATGTAAAAATAAAATAAAATAAGTGTCAAAAGACAGAGAAAATATTGATTCTTCAGGGAGGAAAAAAGGATGACTTGGTTAAATTAAAACTTTGAGAGGAAGTAGAGTATGGGAAGATGGTCTCTTAGGACCCAAGAGCAGCCTGGGGCATGGTAGAGGCATCCTGGAGAAACTATCATTCAGTTGGTCAACAAACATGCTGGTCAAGAGATCTTGGCCTGTCCCTGACAATGTGGGAGAACACAAGCTAGATGGGGTTCCACCTATTGGAGGGACAGCATATACATGAGACCAGAACCCCAGGTATTGACACAGATACTACAGGTGGGGCCTGACAGAGTTGTGGGAGCTCTCCAGGGTGCTGAGAGCCATCTCGCAGGTGAGAGGCCCATCCTGACTCACAACCCCATTGCCAGAGAGAGAGTCAGGACCTATTCTACTCTTTCTAGGCCTGGGGCCCAGAGTGAGGCCCACATTAAAGCCCATATTACTAACCACCCTCCACAACTGCTCTTTTTCTGGCTTTTCTTCACCCTCCTCATCTCCTCTCCCACTAAAAAATGGGGAGGGAGATTTTCCCAGGCTATATCAGTCAGGGCACAAAGGATGGGCACAAAAACCAGACTGATAGAAAAAGGTCCTCCTGCTAGGCAGATAGACCAGATCTGTAATAACATTTTCCTGGAAGGCATTCCCATCAACATTTGAAAATGACCCCAGACCTACAGCACCTTGAGGTCAAGGCCAGATATTCAGCAACCATGTGCCCCTGTACCTGTGGAGCTGAATGGGGGCAGGGAGGAGCATGGGGGTGTTGGATACAGAGGGACAGATGAAAATCCCTGGATGAGTTCGCTGATAAAGGCCAGAGTGGCAGAAAACACTCCCTTACCACTATACACAGCCTGGACTCCCAGGGGGCCCCTTGGAGGGACCAGGGCAACTGAGGCTGCAGCTGTTTTTCTAGAGGCTACAGGACCTCTGGTTAGGGAACTCATTTGTTTCTTCAATGAGCGAAATGTACTAAAAGAACATCTTGCTTCCAGGAAATCATTTATTTACCCACTACAGCCATGGAGAGGAAGGAGGCTCTGGGTCAATCCTGCCAGGCTCCTTTTCTGTTTTGAAGAGGGTTACAACAGGAGAATCTGCAGGGTGCTTACTGTGAGGGTCAGATGAACTGGTGCACAGCAAGGGCTGGGAAGTCAGACAGAGTTGAAGCTGATTTCTGCAAGAGGAGGAGAGGGTCCTTGGAAATAAAAGACATCTCATCACCAGGCCTATGAGTAATTGCCTTAACATCTCCCCCCAACCCTGGAAACCTGATCCCTAGTCCATAGGCGACCTGGTCCCACTCATCTAGCTGCACCCACCTCCCATATTCAATTTCCAGTCTTGCTTGATCTCACACTATGGCAGGATGGCACAGTGAGAAGAATGGACCCTGGCATGGCCTTCACTCTGTACCTGCTCCCCTAAGAAAGTGAGCCCAGGTATGCTGTGGCCTGAGCCCCTCCTGGAAACATCTTCTCTGGTGAAGCTTCCCACATGGAACCAGGCTTCTGGGCTAAAAAAGCATCTGCCTCCATGAATGAGAAGAGACCAGCCTCTGGTATCAGGAAACCTCTATCCATCTGCCTGCTTAGTAGCCCTGTGGTTGGCCATGTGTGATTCTCCACAGGCATTCTAGGCCAAAGCCTAGCCCTGGTCTCCTCTTAACACTGGGTTTTCCTGACCTTGTAGTCCATGCTTAGCTGCCCGGGATGCCCATGCTAGAAGATAACTCCAGGACTAAGACGGTGCTTGGGGTAGGTAATTCCTCAAGAACTCTACAGGGACCAGGCCTGAAAGCACTCTCCCTAGTGCCTCCATACTCTGCTGTCCATGAACTATACTCACCTCCTTGAGGCTTGACCCCCCCAGAGTGACTCTCCACCCTCTTTCCTCGGGCTCCTTTTTCCCAGAGCCTTGTTGAGCTCCCTTATTCTTTCTTTTTCTTTTTTTAAAATTGTAGTTGGACACAATATCTTTGTGTTTTTGTTTTTGTTTTTTAATGTGGTGCTGAGGATCGAACCCAGGGCCTTGCCCGTGCTAGGCAAGCGCTCTACTATTGAGCCATAACCCCAGCCCAAGCTCCCTTCTTATAACCATTTCCTCTCTGAATCCCTCCTCTGCCCAGGCCAGGGGCCATGCTGTCAGATTTCACCTTGAAGCTCCCTTATCACTAACTCCATCTGCTGTTTGCTTTAGCTGAAGCAAATGGTTTTCTTTTGTGCTGGCCCTGAGCATTGGGGCCAGAGTGGTACAAGGATAGGAATTGGATATGGAGGATAGAAATTCAAGTCTTGGAGTCTATGGGCCTCCTCTGCCCACTCTTCCTGCACTTGCACCCTATTATACACTTTCATCCCTTGGTTCCAGGCATAGGTCTGGGCCACCCAAATTGGCAGCTCATGCTCAAACTCATCCCTCACCCTGAGCTGACTTACCTAGCAGGCCCTTGGGACTCCCACCCCAATCCAGTGTGAACAGGTACTCCCCCACCTCATTGGTTTAGCTCCCTACATTTTTCTCCCCTCTGGCCACACACACACACACACACACACACATATACACCATGTACCTACAAACCTATACATATGCTTAGCACAGAGTATCAAAAGTTAAAAGCAAAGAGAAACCCAGAAGTTCTCCACTCCCATAACCCAGTCCAGATGCCCTCTTGTACAAATGGGAAAGCAGAGGCCCAAGGGGTAGAATTCAAGCAGCTATCTTAGGTGGGAAGTGGGCTGCAAAGTCCTAGAGACAGAGCCTGCTTTGAAGGCAAACCTCTCAGCTGGACCATTTACCTGGGCACATTCTTTCTCCCGCCTCTTTTCTCATCCAGGGCAACCAAGATCTCAGCATTCTGCCTTGGGAAGCCTAGCGCCCCCATGTCCTTCAATTCCCTCCCTTCTACTGGCACCTTCCTACTCCCAGTTGTCTTTTCATTTCTTCATAGGAGAATCACTTCAGGACCCAACCACACGCTCTGAACACCCAGCTCCAAGCTCCTGTTGTGTGATCCCAAACAGGTCACCTTACCTCTCTGAGTCTCCATTTCCTCAGCAAATGAGATAATAACAGAGCTGGCCTCACATTCTACAGTGAACCTGAAAGGAATTTACTTCAGGGAGAAGGATCCTGTACCAATATAATAGTAACAATAACAGCAACAAAAATAATAAAACTACTGCTCTTTTATACACGCTCTTCCCCAATTCTCTACCCACAGGATCTTTTTTATTCTCTATCAAACTTCTTGCAAGAACTGCCTGCACCCTAGCTGCTGCTTCCTGATTACAAACTCCTATATATGCGTTTCTAACCATGAGAGAATGCCCCTCACAGGAACAGGCCACAAACCTAAACACTCATCTGGCACACACACACACATGCTCACACATACGCACACACAAATGGTAAACAGAATATAATTCATTTGTAAAGGAGACTCCAGTCGTGCGATCCATCTTAAGCTAAAATTCAATACTTCTCGGCACAGACTGTTGGGTCTTGATGAATGGAGAGGACTAAGGCTCCGTGGGTCCCATATGCTTGCTACAGGGTCCTGCTCTCTGGAACAAAATAACTGCCAGCCACAGGGGCCAGCAGAAATGGAGGTTAGCATTCCAGGTTAGCATTAAGAGGTCAACAATCTATCCTGAGGCTCCAACAAAAACCACTCTGGGTTCTGTCCTCCAATCTGTAGCCTTCTAGAAGTTCACAAAATCCTTATCTGCTGTTGCATATTTTTTCCAGGCCCTTTGAGGCTATTGCAGCCTGTCCAGGGGTTGGGCTGAGGTACCTCCAACAATCTGGATGACAATCCCAACTTCAATTCTATTTTACCATCCCCAACCTCTTCCACTCCCTGCTACAGTTAAGCTACCCATCTCTGATAAAATTTCTTCCACTCGTTAGAGCCTGTGTCCACTTCCCAAGTCCCTCTGAGGACCTTGGCCTAGGCTGTGTCCTCACCCTAGGTGCTGGGGTGTGGCTTTAAAGGGATACACCAGGACCTTCCCCCCCCCAGCCTAGCCTGGGGGAGGAGTCCCGAAGTCGGTGTCACCAGGCCCGGCGGGCTCACTAAGTGAGCATTCCTCCGCTCGGGGAGTTTTATAGCCCCGCCGTGCTTCCTCCGCAATGGCCTGTGCTGTTTACGAACCCCTCTCCGGCTTGGAAATAGACTGTCTTTCCTGAACGATTTTCTCTTTTCCCATTTACTAAACATTGATTTCCCCCCTCCTGCGCCTCTAATAGAGCAGAAACCAATACGTCTTTGTTTGCTTTTCTCGCGTTCGGGGCGCGGGCGGTGGCGGGGCTGGGGGCGCGCGCGGGCTGCAGCGGCAGGGCCGGGTGGCTGCTCCGCGCATGTGCAGCCGTCCAGGTGGCCCTGCCCTCTGCCGCTGCAGCTCCCGCGGCCCCGCGCGGGTGCCAATGTCTGGGATCCCGGAAGAGTGGGGCACACGTCCTCGGGTAGAGAGGGTGGTGAGACTAGGGGACTGAGTCGCGTAGGGGTTATAGCGAGAGCCAGTCGCAGGAACACCAAGAAGGCAAACTATTCGAGTGGTCTCCCACCTCTTCTCTGCCTGAGATGCCATTAGCGATGGCTCACCTCTGCCAGATCCGTCTTTGAAGTCCAGGTGCTTGTGGATGAAGAGCCCATTAGCACCTGGGGTTGCATTCAATAGAGGCCAAGTGGGGTTGGGACAGCTATTCCTTTCTCCTTCGTTCATTCAGTCATCATGCCGGTCAGATCACCTGTTCCAAACCAGGCAGTCCTGTGCCAGGGCCAGCAAAGAGGAGGGAGAACAAGAATGGTGACGTCCCTGCCTCACAGACTCTAGTCACAAGCCTCTTACAGCTTTTTTCTCAGAAGGGGTTGAGGTGGAGAAAATTCTCAGACTGTGTAGGCAACCCATCCTCATTTGCAGAAGAGGAGTTCTGGTAGGCTTCTGGGAGAAGCCTAGGATTCCCAGGGATGAGATCTTGAGCCTCAGGCTGCTGTCTGCAAACAGAATTATAGCAGCTCCTCCAGAACAAGGTGGCATCAGGGATTAAATATAGCCTTGTCCAGCATTGTGCCTGGCACAATGTAGCTGCTCATTAAAAGAAGTTCCTTTCCATCCTAACCCTGCTCTCCCCTCCTCCTGATGCACAGACAGGGATGGTTGCTGAGTGTGAAGACCCTCAGTCAGGAATGCATGTGGTATGGGCTGGGAGAAATGGGGGGTCTGATTCAATTTTGAAACTTCCTGGGACCTTAGTTCTGGCATATTGCTTGTGCCAAGTAAAATACAGAAGGATCCTCCTCACAGTTGTTCCTCATGGAGGAAGGAAAACAAGAGGCCCCCAAGGCAGACACCTGGGAAAGACTGAGGTTAGGACAAATACACAGAGGGGCTTAGGCAGAGGGAGGGGGAAAAAATCAGAACAGGAGATACACAGACTGATAAATAGGCAGTTGAACAGACAGACACGGACAGACAGAGGGATGAACAGATGGATATATAAATGGACAGATTGATTTGAACAGAGAGCACTGAGCAAGATTCAGTAGAGACAAGAAGTAAAAAGGTACACCAGGCAGGGGTACCAGTGTGAGCAGAGGCTCAGAGGCGAGGCCAAAAGTGACTCCTCTGGAGCCATGGGGGAAGACAGTGGTGACCTTTTATAGTAAATCTCAGAGGCCCATAGTCATGAGGAAAGCAGGACCAGGGTGGCAGGTGGTTGGGAGGTAGCTGTGTCACCAGCACCATGTTTCTGTGGATCCCAGGAATTCTTTCACAACAGAACAAAGACAGTTCTTGGGTGGATCTGGTCATTCATACTTCCCAAGGTCCACTACACCCCGTACCCAGTGATCCACAGGTGCCCAGGATGTTCAGTGGGTGTTTGGAGCATTGTCTTCACAACTCTGGGGGTCAGGTGTATGGTCTTCCTCTGGAACAAGGCTGTGACCAACCAGGACAGACTGAAGGCAGGTGATGGGCAAGCCTCAGCCACTCAGGAGGAAACAGTCACAGTCACAGGCACAGGGAGCCTCACTCAGGAGGGGTCTGGACCAATTAGGAAAGGAAGGGGAAGTAGCAATAATTAAAAATTAAAAGCCAGTAAGACAGCAGTTTAAAAATGGAAGGAGTGAATAAAAATAATTAGCAGAGATGAGGCAACAGGGCTGGCGTAATACAAATGGATCCAATCACAAAGCACTAATGATATTGGGAAACCTAATTTTTACAGTGTCAGGCCTGCATGATTGAAACACTGGGCCTACTCTCCTGAACCAGCCCTCCTGCTCATCTGAGGGTGATGGGACTTTATCTCCCTCCATGCATCTCAGAGTGGCCCAAATGGAGGGACCAAGAGACAGAGGGCAGAGGCTATTGGGAGAGGTTTGGAGGCAGGGAGGCCCAGGGATGGCCCTGGGAAACAGAGCTGGTAGGATGGGCAATCCAGGCAAAGGCCAGAGCAAGAAGACATGCCCCCACCCAGAGTGTGCCCACCATCACTAGCAGTGGTGGTGAAGTCACAGTCATACAGTCATATGGTACCCGGTTGCCGCGGAGACCAGGCGACCCTCCTGGCAGAGGGAGGCTGAGTCAGTTTGAGTAATGGCGGAGAACGCTGCCACTGATGGGGAAAAATACATCTTCATAACAGGGTGAACCTTTTGGAAAATGGAATAAGTAAAATAATTGAGAGAAAGAAAATTGAGTTTTTATTGCTTTTTAAGTGTTTAAGTGGAGGTTTCATTTAGGGAAATTATCGTTGCTTTTATTTTTAGCCACCCGGTGGGGTGGGGAAGGGCTGGGAGAGTGTTGATTTGGGGCATGGCTCAAGTCCCCTAGCCCTTTCCCAGGGCCACAGGGCACCCCCATTTCACAGAAGGGAAAAGGAGACTAAAGTCTCAGTGGATTGTCTGAAACAGGCATCAGAGTCACAATAGATGCTACCCTGCCTCCTGGAATCTCTTGGGTCCTGAGTCAGGCTGAGCACTTTGCTCCTCTCTCATTGGTCCCCTACTCTTGACTTACCTCTGCACCTTTGCCCCCCACCTCACCAGCTCTTGCCACATTGCAGAGGAGCCTTCCTACCTGTTTGGAGTGAGACTGTTCCTCCCTTAGCTGCCTCTGCTCCCCTGAGCGTCTGCTTACAATTTCCTGTCCCTCCTGACTGGTCCTGTGTCTTGGTCCCCAGCCATGCATAGAAGTGGGGGAGGAGCTCAGTAAACCCTTATTGATTGATGCTCCTCTTCCATTGGAGGCTTGGGGAGGAGGGCTCCTCAGACAGTCTATGGTCCCTGGACTGGATGTCCAGGAAGTACTGGATAAGCCCCCCAATACTCTTTGTGGAGCCAGGCTCTTTACAGCCTGATCCACACTTCCATCCCCATTCTTCCGCCTGGTCCTGGTTATGCCCTCTTCACACCCCAGGAATGGCTCATGCCAAGGCCAAAGAAGACCTCATTGCATAGATCCCACAGTAAATGAGGAGGACTGCCTCTCCAGACCCCCAGGCCCTCCCTTGCTTCATTTCTGACTAGTGCTCGGCTCCTTCCTGGACCTACTCTCCTCTTCCCTGCCTCTGGGACCTCTGCTAGCTGGTCCTTTGCACTATTCAGTGACCCAAGCACTCTCCTTCCCATCCAACCCCCTTACTCTGTTAAGCCCCAGCCCATTCAGTCTACAGACCTATGTTTTCCTGCACAGCTCCCAGAAGCACCCTGGTCTCCAACTTCCACTGCTGCTCCCTGATCCTCAGCTTCTTTCAGTTCCTCAGCAGCCCAGGGCTTCTCTCAGCCTAGAGGCCTTGGCCCCATGGTCTCCTCTCTGCTTGACCTGACCAAACCCAGGTGGTGCTCATGTCATGAGTCACAAGACAGAAACTATGACTCATGTTACCTGAGTCACAAAGTAGAATTTATTGGCAGAATTAGCATGCACTTCAGGGATGACTGGATACAGGTTCTCAAACATTATTACCAGAACTCAATCTCTCTCTGGTTATAGCTGCCTGAATGTGAACCATGCTCATTCAGGCCCTTCCACATCTTGCCTTGTCAGTGTACCTTATTCCTGTCCTCCCAGCAGAAACCCCAGCATCGAGTTAGTCACATGCTTGTCCCAGAAAAATCACTATGGTCTTGGAGATGAAAGGAAGCTAATTGGATAACCTGCAACATGGGGAGGGCCATATGCTCATCCTCAACCAGTGATACAGAATGATGGGGGGGGGTGGGGTCAAGGATTCTCCCAGGACAAATGGGAGTGAGTGCAGTGCTCAAACTCCACCTTCCTTGAGTTTCTCCTTGAAAGGGTTAATTGTCTTCCTATCTGGTCTCCCTCTAGACTGTGAGCCAGAGGCAAAAATTGAGGTGTCTTGTTTACCATGAGATCCCCAATGTCCACGAGTGAGGGGAGCCTCTCTTGTTACAGATAGGGAAACTGAGGCAGGGGCTTGGCCAAGTTCACATGTCCTTTGTTCATGCCAAGGTGCCTTATGCTGTGCTCCCATGTCAGCTCCATTGCTCCTGATCCTGCCTCCCAACCATCTCCCACTGCCCCCAAGTCACCTTCCCCTCCCCACGCCCTCTCCTGGCCTTCCTGGTGTCATTTCCATCTCTTGGTCTATTCAACTTGCCCAAACTTCTCCCTTGGTGCCCACACTAGATATCTCAGTCCTGACGCTTTTGTATGCCACCCAGCCCCACCTTCCCCGAGGTCCTGGTAGCCCCTGCTGATGCTGATGCTCTTCATCAGTATGTGACTAGTTGGTGACCACTCTTCACACCGTCTGCATGACTTCCTTCCAGCCCCTGGGCCACACTGTTTCAGTCCCTGAGGCATTTCTTCAATCACCCTGGATCATAGCTGTCCCTGGAGCTTTGTCCCTTATTACTGGTTTCTTTTTTTAAAATGTTTATTCTTAAGTTTTAAATGGACACAGTATCTTTATTTTACATTTATGTGGTGCAGAGGATCAAACCCAGTGCCTTGTGCATGCTAGGCGGGCATTCTACCACGGAGCCACAACCCCAGCCCCCTTATTGCTGGTTTCATACCTTCTTTCCCAGGCCATCTTTGCTTGTGGCTTCACTCCCATCTCTGGGCCCTGGTGTGCATATTTTTCTCCTGGACCCCTGACCTTTACTTTCAGCCATGCTTAGATGTCCCTGAATGCTTGGAATCCAGCAGGCCTAGGTCCCAGCAACCCAGAGTTTGTCTCCAGACATGCTATCCTCCCCCACCCAATCTTTCCCCTTAATGGCACTGCAACTCCTACAGAGAACAGGATCCAATGCTGTGGACAAAACAGTCTATCCTCCCAGCACTCTCCCCAGTTCTCTCCCGAACAAAACCATCCATGGCTCCCTTTTGCCCTCAGGACCAGTGCGAGCTCTTACGGTGTCAAAGGCCACCCCTACCATGCTGACCACTCCAAACCCAACCACATGCCTTAACCTTGGCCTTTCTTGTCCCAACAGGTAAGGTGCCATCTCTGCAGGGTATTCTCATTAGTCCCCCTGCCCATGACCCTGCCAATTTCATGGCCTGACAGTGTTCCCTCCCGCTATGAACTCTAGTCAATTGCTCGTATTCTATAAGCTTTAGCTCAGGGGTCACCAACTGTAGGAAGCATTCTGTGGTCCCCTACCCCGTTCAGACTCCCTCTGCTGTAGAAGACTGGGTCTCTCAAAGGTTGCAGTGTGTGGATTCTTTGGCACAGTGTGTCTGCCAGGGCTGAATCTGAGCATGGTGCTTAGAGGGTGTTCAGTGCATGATGGTTGAATGAGCAGATGACTTTTCAGTGATGAGGACCTTCACACATGGGGCCAGTCCTATGCCTGATGGGGTTCAGCCAGGGCACCTCTTTCAGAACAGGGTCAGAGCAGCATGTGCTCATGGCTAACAGAGGCAATGGAGTAGTTTGTGAGATGTTCTGAAAGCTGGGTAATGTTGGCATCCTGCCCCACCAGGAGAAGCCCCAGCAAGCAGAGAGCACACAAGCTCATCTTCCTTTTAGCTACATCCTCCCCATTCTCTCTGCTCTCAACCAGTCCCATCCTGGCCATCATCAGTGGCCTTGATCGTAGGCCCTTTCTTCTCTTCCCTGAGCATATTCTATAGCACTCTCTAGCAGCCAGTCTCTCCCTCCTTCCCTGCCAGCTCCCTATGTCCTGCTTGACCTCAGCTTCCTGCAGGCCTGGCCCCAAAATATGGTCCTTTCCTCCAAGAAGTTAATTACACGATGTGTGCATTAGTTACACGGCCTGTTGACTGAGGTAGGTGAGGTGGTAGACAGGAGGATAGCTAGGGTGTTTCCATAGTTAGGTGGGTCCCTGTCTGCTCACCTCTGTGTGCAACAGGGCTTCTTAGAGGCCAGGGAGGCAGGTGAGGAGTATGCACGCACCCACACATGCATTCCCTAACACACACACACACACACACACACACACACACACACACACCTTGTGCTTCCACATGTATAATATACTTGCATAATCACACCCTACATCCCACATAGCCAGCTGTGCATTCACATGCATGCATGCACACATGCCCACATATAGCCTATCTCCCATACATACTTCCCACACTGGTGGATGTCCTTCCAGCTGCAGTCACAGCTGTTATTACCATCTCAGTCCTGAGGTTGGCATTCAAGGCCTCCATGGTCAAGTCTCACCAGAGCACCCTGGCCTCACTCCTTGAGGTATCCCTCAACACACAGTGACTGAGGCAGCTTCAGGGGCCAGAGGGGCAGGAGTTGTGCAGCTGCAGGCCTGGCCATAGGAGCAGAGGCTCTCCTTCTCTATCTGTTGGTCTGCCTGTGTGTCTATGGCTGCTCTGGAGGAGCCCCTGGGGAAGACACTCTGAGCTCCCCTCTGTAACCTGACAGGGTTGTGCTGGACAGTCCAGGCCTACCTTGCAAACACCATCTCCTCTTCTTGGTCACTCCTATGCTGGTGGCACTTGGACTCTGACCCACCCTGAGCCATCGGCCAGGAACTAGGGGAGGAGGGGCAAAGGAGGACACATCCCAGAAGAA